ACGAATGCTTCCAACTCATGGGTGCAGTTTAGTAGGTATCTTACATACAATTTTACCGTATTTGGTATCATAAACACCACATGAATATGTATGAGTTTTGCCTAATCATCAATTATTGAGGTTTTTCTGAAGGCTTAAAAAAACAATTGCTTCTAAAGTCACGTCATCGCAAAATGTGCAGTCATATTATTAATTGCCATATCTCATCATTTTCCCTTTAGTTATCTATCTACCTCGCTGGTTTCAACAGGGATGTATTTGTGCGAAATTGTGAAATTTAAGAGAGTTAACGGAAAACGGGAAACATGTTAAACTGAATGATCGTTGCCATAAAATTAGAAAATTAATCCTGGCTCAATACTAGTTGTTGATGAAAATATGATTCGCTTTCAAGGAAGATTACTTTTCAAACAATATATACCTTCAAAGCATCATCGCTATGGCTTGAAACTGTTTAAATTATGTAATCCTGCAGAATATACTCTAAAAATGATTATGTATACCAGCAAAATGGCTAGTAAAGGGGGGCAAGATTAATCGGCAAAAATTGTACTAGATTGCAAAAGACTATCTACAAAAATGAAGAGTTGTAATAGCCGATAATTACTACACGTCTGTTCCTTTAGCAAAACGATTATTAGTTGCTAATAGTCATTTATAAGGGGCACTACGTACCCGTTTTGTGGAACGACCACATCAAGCGTCATAGCCGAGAGATGGTTCTTGATAACTGGTCCTCATAAGACAACTATGAACTAACTCTCACTTATGGCGACTCACTTATACCGATCAACGGCATCGGGCGGATGAGTTAGTAAGTGGTAGGGCGCTCTTTTGTCCTGCGGTTGAAAAATTAGCCTCGAAGGCGGATGAACAAAAAAAACTGTTAACGGCATAAGAATGTAGAAAGCAAAGGGAAATCCCTGGTACAATTGTCATGGCTCTACAAAAAGTAACTCTGTTACTGATCATGGATATCGGAGGCCAAGATACGGAAGGGGAGGCAAATCACACATAGACCACAAGGCCTCTCAGTTTGATATCAAACGAAATCCCTGTGAAATACCAAGTGAAAGTCAATATACCAAGCAGGTAAAGTCCATAATGTCATTCAGGAAATGGAAAGACTTTACATAAAAATATTAGGACTAAGTGAGACCAGATGGCCCCATTGAGGTGAAATATCAGAAGGCCAAACAAAAATTTACTACTCTGGTAATGACAATGACGCAAATCACTGGAACGGAGTAGCGATATTAGTTGACAAAACTAACCAGAAATTTGTAACTGGCTTCTTACCCATCTCGGATAGAGTTATGATGGTAACACTAAAAACAGCTCAATCTAGAATCAATGTAATTCAAGTATATGCCTCCACTGCATAAAAGTCGGATGAAGAGCTCAAATAGTTATATAATGAATTATAACAAGCTTTAGAACTAACCAAGTCTAGAGACGTTATAATAGTCATGTAAGATCTAAATGCAAAAATTGGTAGAGGAAGTCAAGGTGATTTTATTCGAAACTTTGGACTGGGTATCCGAACGAGAAAAGAGACAGATTGGCTCAATTCTGCCAAGAGACCGATTTTATTGTCGCGAATACTTATTATAATCTGCCGTCCAGGAGACACTATACATGGAAATCTCCAGCAGACAACCAACATAACGGCATCAGAATCCAAATTGACTACCTTCTCATCTGCAAACGATACCAAACTTCCATAAAATCAGTAAAGTCATAATAATCATAGTTCCGTAAACCCAGCCGTAGGAAGGTTTAAAATTAATCAGAAAAATCTTGTGGCTAAAACTAAAGTAGAAAGGATACAAGTATCCTGTTTAAAAGATCCACCAACAAAGGCGCAAGTCACACTAAAAATAAAAAAAGAACTCACCAAAATAAAAATTATTCCTACTGAAGATGTGAACAGGAAATGGCATATGTTAAAATATGCTCTTATACGCACATGTAAAACAACACTAACACCTAAGCTGATCAAGAACAAAAATGAATGGATGACCGTTGAGATTTTGGATCTCATGGAAGCAAGTAGATCTTATAAAACCAAAGACAAAAACATATATAATATTATACAAACAGAAATAAGGAGAACGATCAGAGATGCAAAGCAAAGATGGTATAGTGACAGATGCAAAGAGATTGAACAGTTGGTAGAGAATCATGATTATTTAAACCTTCATAAAAAAATTAGGGGAAATAACAGGCACTAATATTAAGAAAAAATCAAACATACTGCGGGATAAAAACGGCAAAATAATTATAGAAGTCGGTAAAAGGCTTAAAAGATGGCAGGAATATATTCAAGAGCTATTTAAAGACAAACGGACTGAGATGGTATAGAGCAGGAAAAGTTCGTCAACGGCCCAGAAATAACAGAAGATCAGGTATAATAGGCGATAAAACAAACAAAGAACAACAAGGCAATATGTCCTGACGAAATACCTGTAGACATAATACGGTTAATAGAAGAACCGCAAATTGGAATATTGGTCGACTTATTCAATACAATATACAGTACAGGAATCATTTCCAGAGATTGGCTGTTGTCAACATTCATAATACTATACTACACTACACTATACTACAATAGGAAGAAGAGAATACGTTGTAACCAATGTTACACTGAGACAGTTGTAATGAAAACATAGCAAGAAAATAAAGAATAGAAAAAATTAGGGGTAAGTAGCACAGAAAAGATAATAATTATTCAAAATCATTAATATATATTCCAAATTAAATAAAAAATAAATTCGATACAGTAACGTATACATGTTAATCTATACAAAGAAAAACAATTTGACCCAGTTAGTTGCATGACACGAGCCAGTATCAGTTGCAACAATTGTTCAAAAAAAGAAAATAGTCACGTTTTAATAAACACAGACCTACGCTGGAAAATATCACCAGCGCCGACCTGGTTTAAATCATGAGGACTCAGCATTGGACATTAAGTGCCAGCTCCGTGAGCGCTCGGACGCGATAGCGTCCAGTACGTGATCAGTAATAGCTAGGCACCGTGACTGCCCGCTCAGGCAGTAATAAACGACAGTAGTGCCGGCTCCGAGAACAACGAGGTATTAATCAGTATTAGTCAGGAGTCAGTATTACAACGAGGAGCTGTCGCGACGATAGGCGGCTCCAGATACGGTGAACGAGCGATTGTTATATTTTGCCTATTATAGTTCGAAAAAAGTGTCGGCTACCGAGCGAGTGAAAGGTTCATGCCAGAACGCAACATTCTCCACAAAAGAAATCCGATTTCCAGAGGAACTGAAGGGCGTATCATTAGCTAGAGCCTAAATACGCGAAAGGTAACAAATTATATATACTAACCCGAGTAAATTATAGTTGTACAGATTGTCACCCCTTTACTTTCTTGCTAAGATCTCTTCTCGTCTCCCTTCGCGCCGAACGAGTTATTATTGATTATATCTGACATCTTGCTAACTTAATTGTAAAACACATAGTATATTCAATACATTTGTAGACTCTAAATTTGGTTTTTATGTTCCTTCCGGCCGATTCAGACAGAGACCAGGAAAGTACCAAATTTCTGCTTATACAGTTATCCGGCTTCTAAAGTAAGCCCATAGACTCAAATTCTTTACAGGACTTGAGACCTGGAAGTCCTTAAATCCCTATCCCGAACTTCTCTACCTTCTCGTAAATCCACGAAGGCGAGCCAGCTCTCCAGACTAGTGGAACCAGTATTCCTTGCAGCCGCTCGCAGGGATAAGCATCCTTAAGATCCATAGCGAGGATGTTACAGTGGTGACAGCGGAGCGCCCCAGTAGTTTTACATTTGGCGACAGCGGTATTCCCGGTCATTACAGTTGCAACAAAAGAATGTAAACTTACTTTGTATTTTTTTGTAAGCATTCTTTACTTTGGCATCTGAGAAACTCACCTAACACACTTATGGTGGCAGCCAATGTGTTACAAGGAGTCTTGCACGACTTGTTTCATAATAAAAATTATTTTTTTTTATTTTATTAATTTTTGTTTAAAAATTACATTTTTCATTTAAATATTCTTGACAATTTATTAACAAATTGGTAATCTGTAGTGATTCTATATAAATCCGAACCTGTCTTTTTTTGCCTAGGACCAATTTTAAAAAGCATCATCAATCAAAATTCACATTAAGCTTTTTGCTCGTCTCTTCTCCTTCGATTCTTATATTCATTAGATGCCTGGTAGTTTATTTTTCTCAAGAATATTCAACTTTTAAGAAAGGCCAAACAAAACAACACGGCGTGGGTCCGAAATTATCGGATATACCTGCAAATTAAGTAGTCGAATTAAACTATTCGGTTTCTTAAATTAGTGTTTTGTTCGAAAGGGAGATATGTGAGGCATGACTTGGCCATTATAATTATTGTAATTTGCTGCCAAACAGTCAAACAGTAAAAAAGGGTGTGTTTTATAGCACTTTATAAGACCCAGATATGCAAGATTTGGTAGCTTTTGTTTTTAACATTTATATTGATCGAAATCTGCATTATTATAAAAGTGTCTGGAGCGGAAATTAGTGAAAGGTGTTGGTAACTATATTTCCTATCTCTCTTTAGACCTAACTTTGTTTTTGAAGTCCTTAAAGGCAGAAGTTATATTTGAGGCAGATGTAACTGCCCTTAAAATGTTGGAAGAAGCTTAAGTATACAATACTTGGTACCATTTGTTTATTTATTATATATTTATTTATTATATATAAAATTTTTGTATTTTAAATTTTTTGTTTAGAAGAACAAACAGTGGTACGTCGCTAAAACCAGACTGAATGGATGTTCCAAAAAATCAATGGTAAAGAAAAAACCTTCGTATTGAAAAACAGATGCCGACTCATCTGAGTCCACGAAATTCCGAAGTAAATGCTCTAGAACAAAGGGGGTACCTAATCGAAAAAAAAAATTGGCCAAGGTTCATATGCTACTGTACATTTAGCTGATTTTGTCGACAATACCAGCCCAAAGAAGATGCGCCTTGCATGCAAAATTTTTGACAAAGAAAAAGCTCCTAAGGATTTTCTAGAAAAGTTTTTTCCTAGAGAGCTAGAGATTCTAACTAAGATTGAAAACCAACACATTATACAAGTGCATAGTATTCTACAAAGAGGACCTAGAGTGTTTATATTTATGAGATATGCCGATAACGAAGATCTTTTTGATTTTATTAAAAAAAATGGAGTCGTGCCTGAGCAGCAAGCTAAAATATGGTTTAGACAAATGGCCAGCGGACTTTATTATCTTCATGGTAGGAACATTTCACATCGAGATCTAAAATATGAAAATATTTTGCTTTCGAGAAGATTTAATGTAAAGTTGGCTGATTTCGGTTTTGCGCGATTTTGTGTCCATTCGGATAATAGAAGAATACTTAGTCAAACATATTGCGGATCGGCTGCTTATGCAGCTCCTGAAGTCGTCAACGGAACACCGTATAATCCCAAGCTATCTGACGTTTGGTCCTTAGGAATAATACTATTTATAATGCTAATTGCTTCTATGCCTTTTGACGATTCAAATTTAAGAAAATTACTAAAAGATCAAATGACTAAAAACTGGGTTTTTCGATCAAGAGTAAGAGATAGTTTATCCACATTGGCTAAATCATTGGTGAGATATCTATTAGAACCTGATTTGACTCAAAGACTAACGCTAGATAGAGTTATGCAACATGAATGGCTAAGAATGCGCAGAGAGAGGCCATCTTTTTTTGGCAGGTCGGTACATAATTCGGTGGAAAATTATTTTCCACATGTCAGTGTATATGACGACGAAAAAGTACCTGGAGACTTCCAAAATCCCGATAACAAGAAAAGCGAAATGAGGATAGCTATCAACGACAATTCAATGAATTGAATTAATAGGGGTTAAGATGGCTGGTATGGTTTTTAAAGATATATAATTTAACTGTTTTTACTATAATAACTTAATGGTTCATTAAATATTTCATATTGCTATAAATCTGAACATATTTGTTTAATATGCTATAATTTCATGTTTTGTTTTTTTGGTTTCTGGAATATTGCTATTAAATTTATAGCCAGGTAAACATATATAGTTGACTGTCCAGATATCTACTTTTAGAGAAATAAACAATTACTACTCAAGAGAACGAGACGCAAAAGAGACTACAACAGAAGAAATAATGGCTCTAATTGTGATTTTATAATGTAAATAAGCAAAATATCACAAATATTTTTGATCTGTGGCATAAGTTGCATAAGTTATAAGCGTTTTGTAGCAAGAAATACGGTATTAAATGGGAATGGGCCGTTGATGTACCAATATAGCAAGCTATGAAATTCACCAAGGTAACAAAAAGTATCAAAAAGTAGAAACAATTTAATGGAATGCACCAACGTAATAAAGGAATATAGAAATGGCAATATAGAAAAGTAACTTTATATTATATATAAACGTACATATATATCCACAATCATTGTGTAGGCCCAATAATACATATACTTTTTTCTTCTTCTTCTTCTTCAGATGCAAATCCACTAATGGATGTTAGCGATCACATTTTCCATTAATTCTCTAGTTCTTGCAATATGTATCAGAGATTGTATGTCGTTAATCCCTGTCCATTGCCTTATGTTCCGGAGCCAGGACATTTTCTTGCGTCCCATTCCTCTCTTGCCTTCAATTTTACCCTCGATTATAAGTTGGAGGAACTGGTATTTTTCATTTCGCATGATGTGACCTAGATACGCCGTTTTCCTTTTCTTGATGGTTTCGAAAAGTTGACGTTCTTGGTTTATTCTTTTAAGGACATCTATATTTGTGATTTTCGCTGTCCATGGTATTTTTAGGATACGGCGATAAAGCCACATTTCGAAAGCTTCTAATCTGTTTATATCCCTCGTTTTGGAATACTTTTTTCAGGCATCCTCAAAACCACAAAAAAATATAAAACCGGCTTCGGTTATCAAAAAAATTAAAATAATAGAAACAAAAACCGGTGAAAGCCAAAAAAACAAAGTTAACAAAAACCAAAAAACCCAGGCACGAAGGGCCCAAACCCTCAAGCACCAAGTAGCCGAACTATGTGTAGTCTGGAGTGGAGACTTAAGCCTAGTTCGTATTCTTCTTCTTCTTCTTCTTCAGCCTGTTTGCATCCACTCCTGGACAAAGGCCTCCCCATGAGTTCTCCACTCTTCCCTGTTTTGTGCTATTTGGTGCCAGTTTCTCCCCATTTTTGCTTTGATGTCGTCTATCCATCGTTTTTGTGGTCTTCCTCTACTCCGACTGTGTTCGCGTGGTCTCCAATGTACAATGTTTTTCGTCCATCTGTCGTTGTTTTGCCGTGCCACGTGCCCTACCCAGTTCCATTTCATTTGTGCAATCCTTCCAATTACATCTTCCACCTTCGTCCTGCTTCGTATGTCCTCGTTTCGTATATGTTCTCTTAGTGATACTCCCAACATAGCTCGTTCGATGGCCCTCTGTGTTGTTCTTAATCTGTTGGCTGACAACTCTGTAAGTGTCATGGTCTCCATTCCATAAGTCATGACCGGTAGAATACAACTGTTGAATACCCTTTTCTTTAGATTTATTGGTATCTTTTTGTTCTTCAACACATCACTGAGTCTGCCTACTGCTGCCCAAGTCATTCGGATTCTTCTAGTTATCTCTGCTGTTTGATTCTGTTTGCCTAGTTTGATGGTGTGACCTAGGTATATATACTCTTCGACACTTTCGATCTCACTTCCATCTAAGTCGATTGTGATATTTTGATTTGTCATTACTTTTGTTTTATTTAAATTCATTTTTAAACCGATTTTTTCAGATTCTTGTTTAAGCTCCTTCAGCATGTAGATTAGTTCCTCTGTATTGTTGCTTATGAGTACTATGTCATCGGCAAATCTTAGATGGCTTAAAAACCTGCCATCAATTTTAATTCCGAGTTGTTCCCAATTTAACTTCTTGAACACATCTTCTAATGCAAGAGTAAATAATTTTGGAGATATGGTGTCTCCCTGTCGAACACCTCTTTCTGATCTTATTTTGTTTGTTGTTAGGCCTTCTGCTACATTTATTTGCATAGTTGCATTGTCGTATATGTATTTTAGGAGCATTCTATATCTGGAATCTATCCTTGCGTTATTCATTCCGTCTAATACCGCCCAGAATTCTATGGAATCGAATGCCTTATTGTAATCCACAAATGCCAAATGAAGAGGTTCATTGTATTCGTTACATTTTTCAATAAGTGTCCTTATTGTCTGTAGGTGTTCTATTGTACTATAACCTTTGCGGAAACCCGCTTGTTCAACAGGCTGGTAACTATCAAATTTGTTTGATAGTCTGTTGGTAATTATTTTGGTAAGCAGTTTGTATGGATGTGGTAACAGGCTTATTGGTCTGTAATTTTCGAGTTTGTGTTTGTCTCCTTTCTTGTGTAGTAGAAGTACCTGCGCGTTTTGCCAAGAGGTTGGAATAGCACCCCCGAATAGGCACTTGTTCAGTAAGATTTTAACTGCCTCCATAGTAGTTTGACCTCCAGCTGTAATCATCTCTTTTGTTATTCCGTCGTCTCCAGGAGATTTTCCATTTTTCATTTGCTTTAAGGCATTTACAACTTCCTCGGTAGTAATTTCTGGTAGTGTTTCAGATCCTACATTTAGTATTCTTCGTTCCATATCATGGGTTTCAGGTTTTGCTACGCTGGACGAGTATAATTCTGTATAATAATCTTCGACAATGTTTATTATCTGATTTTTGTCGTTTCTAATGATTCCATTTTTATCCTTTATTTGGTGTATTTGTTGTCGGCCTTTGCTATTTAGCGTTTTTAACACTTTCATATTCTTGTTTTTCTCTATAATGTTTTCGATTTTTTCGGTGTTGTTGTCCCTGATGTCTTGTCTAATTCTTGTTCTTATTGCCTTATTAAGTTCCTTATATTCTGGTGAATTTCGATCCATGCGGCTTCTGTCCCTAATCATCTGTTGTGTTTCTGTCTTCAATTTATTATCTTTCGGTTTCGGCATCGTATGGGTTTTTTTGATCGCAGAGATTATACTCGTTCTTATCGTTTCTTCCAAATTATTTATGTCTTTTTCTTTTAGCTGTTCCATTGGCTCTAGACTAGACTCAAGATATTTCTGGTAGTTGGTACTGTTTTGCCCAAGCTCTTTAGTAGTTAGGGTTCGTTTTTGCAAGATTAGTTTGTTTCTTTCTAATTTGTTATCGATTATTATTTTTGCTCTTACTAATCTATGATCGCTTCCCAGACTGAATCTGTTGAGCACCGCTACATCTTTTATTATCTGTTTCTGGTTGACTAATATGTAATCGATTTCGTTTTTGGTTTTCCCGTCTGGGCTTATCCAGGTCCACCGTCTATTATCTGGTTTACTAAAAAATGTATTCATACAAAATAGATTTTGTTCCTGTGTGTATGTTAGTAACCGTTCTCCTCTTTCATTTGTAGTTCCTAGCCCATATATTCCTCTATTTGGTATGTTGCCGGTGTTGTGCTTCCCTACTTTGGCGTTAAAGTCTCCCATGATTATTTTAAAATGAGCTCTTTCTGTCATTGCTTTAGAAATATCTTCATAGAATTTCTCTATTTCTTCATCTGTGGATTGACTAGTGGGAGCGTATACTTGAATTATTTGGATGCTGTACCTTTCTGATAGTTTAAGAACGATGTAAATGACCCTCTCCGAGATTGCAGCAGATTTTGTGACCAGATGTTTGAGTCTTTTGTGGATCAATAGTGCTACACCGCCGACATGTGTATTGTACTCATTATGGAATTGGTAGAACATGTGTCCTGAATGGAGTATTGTACATTGTTCTCCTGGCAGTCTCGTTTCGCTTAGACCAAGGACATCCCACTTGATCTTAGTTAGTTCTTCTTCCAGTTCTTCCATTCGTTCGGGTGATTTGAGGGTTCTGGCATTGAAACTAGCAATATAGATATGTTGCTTTCGGTGTTTTAATGAGTTTTTGCCTCCCCCAGATTCCATGAGGCTGACCTCCTTAGAGGTGTGGGATTGCGCACCCACCTGGGGACCAAATCCTCTTGTTTTAAAACTCATTTGGGGTGAGTTAGCCATAACTCGCCACGCTGGCAAGACGGGTTGGCGAGTGTGGTGGGGATATAGGGAAGGAATTTGGGGTTTAGGGTAGGATAATACTGGGGTTTGGACCTGTTTTCCTCTAAGCGGGGAGTGGAGGAAAAACTAGGAGCTCGCGTGGGCAGGGACGCTATTTCCCTGAAGTAAGTCTACCCTCTATCGGGATCATAGAGGGGTACCTACCCGCTACCCGCTAAACATGCCTGAACAACAAAAATTTAGTCGAGTAAATTAGTAAGTGATTTAGTCGAGTCAATCCATTTTATTCTACTTTTTCGGGCGAGTAGCACCTCTCACCACGCGTCCGGGCTTACTGGTTCACCGGCTAAACAAGTCCGAATCAGCCGAATTAGTCGAATTCATTAGTTGTCGTTTCAAAAATGTCGTTTCAATGTTGCAGAGAAACAACTAAAATTCGGTTCCAAATATTTACAATATACATGCTTGTGGAATACTAGATTAGATTAAATTAAGAGAGGTGGCCTTTCAGTCTATTCCACTGCGACCTTTTCAGATCTATTGTGGTCCTCTAGTCCTAGATAACATTTTCTAGCCTGGCCCTTTTTATAAAGTCTAGTAACTTTGAGACTGTACCTTCCATGTAGCTATTTGCCAGTGGATAGAAAATGTGCTCTGCTATTTCTTCTTCTAGGTGACAGAATTTGCACAGGTTATCATCTGATAATCCCTCTAGCTTCAAGTGCCTATTCAGCTTACAGTGCACTGTTAAAAGACCTACTATGGCTTTGACTGTTTTCCTCTCTTTGCTTATTAGGTCTGTCGTAAATTTTAGCGAATGTTCTAGAATGAACTATTTCGCCTGTCTTTGTACTGGTGAATTCCTCCACTATTCCAGAGATTTGTCAGCTACTCACTTCCTTGTAGCTGTTCTTGTTACTGACTATGCAACGCCGGAGAATAGGTTCCAGTCCAATGAATGGCAATTATGAGCCTTGTTTGCCTATT